CCTTGCCATTCTCCCAACTCATCCACCCACCTGAATACCTACACTGTCTCAACATTTTTTTTTCTTTTTTGGGAGCACAAGAAAGCACTGGAGAGTGTACCATACTAGTTACTCATCTACACATGTGGCCCAGTTGATAGTACACTCAGCTCACATACTGAGTGCTTGTGATTCAATCACTTCCTGGCACTGGTGGAAACATTGGTCATGTATCCTTACACCTGCTGCCCCTGTTCACCTAACAGTTAGTAGGTCCTTGGGTGTTAGATGACTGTTATGGGTTGCATCCCAGGGAGGTAGTAGTATGAGCCAAGGTAGGGTATCAGCTCCTAGCCTGTAAAATCGATGTTTAAAACAGAGTGAGAGTAAAAAGGCAAGTGTGTATGTGAATATACCAATCTACCAGTATTACTGTTTTCATGGGAAAGTGCTAAACCCTTAGGGGTCTGACTGCATGGTGAACAGGAGATAATCAGGTTTGCTCCAATTCTATGGATCAAGAGCCCTGCACCAGCATAAATGCACCCTCTTGAAGGGTAGAGTAATATAGCTCATAAAGAGTAGGGAGAGAGAGATAGAGGATTATTATTATTAATTTGTGCATGGGGCTCAACAACAATTAACCATCTCAGACCATTAATTACCCAACAAAAGGCTGCAGTTAGAATGATAACAAATTCTCACTACAGGCAGCACACTCCACCAATATTCAAAACACTCAACCTACTCACCATACAAAACATCCATACTTATTATTGCACCTATTACATACATAGAACACTTAACTCTGATATTAACCCTCCCCTCAAACATCTCCTTGCCAACCTCAACAGAACACATGACCATAACACAAGGCACAGATCACTCTTTGATGTTCCTCGTGTCCATCTCACGCTATGCAAAAACTCAATGCACATAAAAGGCCCTAAAATCTGGAATTCATTACCTGTAAATATAAAAGAAACACTACCTGTTTATAAATTCAAGTCTCTTCTCAAAGATCACTTACTCACCCAAAACCAAATAAATACTGAATAACTGAACCTTATAAATTGTATATCTTAAATGTTTCTCACAATTATATCACATAAATGTTAAACCTAAAACCCAATCTAACTTTATTATTTTTTAAATACACTACCTAACAGAATACTCCATTCGACTGAATGTACAGCAATGCATGCAACCATATGACCTGTCTTTGTAATACTCATTTGTGCTTTATAGTTATCTGTTTACAATAATGTTTTATCACTGATTTCATCATTGCTTAGTTAATCTTAGGTTAATTTTAAGCCAGCCCGTAATGCTATGCATATAAGTGGCTTTGGCATGCTGCTCTTACCTGTATTTTTTTGTACCTCTGTATGTATGCTAAAATTACTAAATAAATAAATAAATAAATAAATAAATAAATTATAATCAAGGGGGAAGCGCTAAACCCGGAGGATTATACAGCGCCTGGGGGGGGGGGATGTGGAAGGCATTCAGGCTTAATTCAGGGAACTGGAGCACAGATCCAATTCCCTAAATCAAGAGCCCCTCACCAACATCAAGGAACCTTCCTTGAGGGGAGAGAGATAGAGGAAGGGGTAAAAGTAGTTATGTCATTAGTGAGCAAGAGTGACAAGAGGAATCTCTCAAGGATCAGTACTTCAACTTTTGCTGTTCCTAATAACCATAAATGATCTGGAGGAAATCCAGTTCTATGTATCACTGCTGATATGAAAATAATGAGAAGGAAAATTAGAGAGGTCAAAAAGAGACTTCAAGATGGCTTGAACAGACAGCAAACATGGTTAGACAATTCTCTACTGGAATTCAGTGCAGTTAAGTGCAAAGTATTAAAAACAGTGGAATGAGAAAGAAGACAGGAAATGTTATACAACCTTGGAGGAGAGTTGTTACAAATATCACAAGGAGAAAGAAACAAGAATGAGTTACACTGAGCATTTTATAACACACATTAACCATGTAACTGACCACACATGCAAGGCTAATCTACAAAAGAACTATCTTCAGGATTATTAAGGGCTCAGGCTTTGTACACCAGACTTTTTTCTGGGGTATGCAACACCAGCATGGAACCTGCTGATTATGCATGTTAAGAGCTCCAGAAGATCCTGAGTTTCACTTTTAGTCTGGTACCAACACTAAGGGGCCTTGACAGTGAGAAGAGATGTGAGGAGCTCAAATGAACAGACTAACAAGCTTACTCTCAATGTTGACAAAACCTATTTCATTCAGTTTGGAAAAAGAGCTACAAATGTTCCACTTAACATAACAATAAATGGATCACCTGTCACAAGACTCACAGAGGGAAAATTCTTAGGAATCTACCTTGACAGTAGCCTCAAATTTCAGACACACATACATCAAATCTCTAAGAAAATCTCAAAGACTGTAGGCATACTATCAAAGATACGGTACTATGTTCCACAACCAGATCTCCTTGCCCTGTATCACTCACTCATTTACCCCTATCTTACCTATGGAATTTGTGCAAGGGGTTCAACAACAATAAACCATCTCAGACCACTAATAACCCAGCAAAAGGCTGCAGTCAGAATGATGATAAATTCCCACTCCAGACAGCATATTCCACCAATATTCAAAAGTCTAAACTTACTCACCATAGAGAACATCCATACCTATTATTGTGCCAACTACATACATAGAATACTACACTCAAACATAAACCCTCCACTCAAAATTCTCCTTGCCAACCTTAACAGGACACACGACCATTACACAAAACACAGATCACTCTATGATGTTCCTCATGTCCATCTCACACTGTGTAAAAACTCTATGCACATAAAGGGCCCAAAAATATGGAATTCATTGCCAGTGAATACCAAAGGAACCCTGTCTGTATATCAATTCAAGACTCTTCTTAAAAGCCACCTACTCACCCAAAACTAAATACTCCATACTTAACTTTACCAACAAAGCTACGAAATCACTCTCCACTGCCTCAAATTATAATTGCTCACTGTGTTACTCCTCCAGCCTCAGAACCCCAAAAGTAAATACTCAGAGTACAATAAATTCTCATATTTTAATGCAAATATTTTAATGCAAATTTTGAATAACATATATTTAACCCTTTGAGGGTCCGTCCCGTAGATCTACGGCTTTACGTTCAGGGTCCAAACCGTAGATCTACGTCATGAGCTCAGCTCACTCTGATAAACTGTGAGTGGTACATTTGGGCCTAGATATGAGAGAATACATCTATGTGGTATGTGTGCACCACATAAAACAGATCCTGCAGCACGCTGTGTATAATGAGAGAAAAAACTGAAATCATGATTTTTCGATTAAAACAGTGACTTTGCAGTGTTTTTTCGTATGTTTTTTATAGGTCTATTTGTGATTTCTTGGTCTCATTTGATAGAATGGAAGACATATTACAGAAATAGAGATGATTTTGATTGGTTTTCGCACTGGAAATGGCTTGAAACTAAGCTCAAAGTAGCAGAAATGTTAAATTTTTGCCGATATTCAAGAGTAAACAAACGACCTCACACGTCTAATACACGCCAGCTGGTGGGTCTAATATGCATTCACATATATGGTGATGATATTTATACAATTATTACAGTATTGAATAACAGTAAATCTTCTATTTTTTGGTGTGAATAAAAATTCAATATGTGAATAAAAAATCAAAATGGAATTTATTTGTAAAGCCTCAAAATGTAACTAATGAACAGAGGAAATGTTAGTTTAGTTCCAGGAATACCTACATTGTTTATTCTGGACCCTATTTTGAAATTGGAATATTTTGAACTTTTTGTTAAATTGGCCAAATTAACAATTTCCGATCACTTTAATTTGTAGTTGAAACAGTTGACTTGGCGATTTCTTGTGCTCAATCGATAGAATAGAAGTAATACTAGTGAAATAGCTAAGAATTTGGTTGACTGGAATAATGTAATTGGCCTAAAATGGGAGTCAAAGTCGGCAAAATCGCCGATTCGTAAATATCGCTGACACATCAAAATTCGCGAGAGCATAATTTCGTCAATTTTCCATCAAATTTCGTACTTTTTGTTTTATTACCTTCACAAAAAGATTCTCTACCATTTCATAAGAAAAAATAAAAAAATTTTTTTTTTGAAAATTCTTGGACACTGGGGCACCACTTCAGATATGGGCCTTGGACCCTGAAGGGGTTAACATAAGTACGTATAACCTATTGTATAATTAGTGCAACCTGATCAAACTACATTTTGTATGTCTAGTGTTAAGTAATCAACAATCTGTTAAGTTTAGACTACCCATAATGGCACGGCATGATAATGGCTCTCTTTGAACAACAAATCATTGTAAACCCTCACTGTAGACTACTTATGTATGTATAAATACTTCTTACAATATATCAACTACATTGTAAGCTTGTAAAGAAAAAATCTGAATTTAAATCTAGAAGAGGGATGGCCCGAAATGCCTCAGCATGACAGTGGCTTTCTTTGCATTTCCAAATCAGTATTGAAATTACTCATTGCAAACTATGCATGGAAATAGACTTTATAACATGTCAGTCACACGTGGTAAATTTTGCAAAGAAATAAAAATTTGAATTTGGGGATATTAATATGACCTACAAAATACTCAGGTGATTAGACAGTGGATAGGGAAAGGCTATTTAAATGAAAGGAAAGCCATGTGATATGTATGGTAGCTAAAGAAGCTGTTAGAGGCACTGGGAATTTAAGAAAAGCCTTTTCAGTCTCAGGGTACTGAGGAAGTGGGAAGAACTAGATATGAAGGTAGTTAAATACCATACCTAATTTTATGTGTAAGCATGATAAGGCACTAGAGGCCTAGAATCAGTAAAGCTGGTGGTTAATTGTTAAAAAGCTGGGGCAAGGAGCTACAAATCAACCCCAGCAAAGTTGGCCAAGTGAGTTCTTGTTTACTCTATATTCCCAAAACTAACTCTTGTACACCTACAGCAACACATTTTAATGAGTATAATTGTACCATCACAGACAGATGAACCATCCTTAAGAGGTCTCAAACTGAACCATCGAGAACGTCGTTTTATCAAATTTGCCTCAGCGGAGTACCAAGGGCAACTCTATATGACCCCACAGGACTTCATAGAATCTGTCACTGATTCAGAACCCAGGCGTGAGTTTTTAGAAAATTTGTTATGTTGTTGGGTGACAGCATGGTATTAGCACATTGATTATTGGTGTTACAATGATAGCATTACAATGAATACTTTTTCCAACCTATGAACTCCTAAGCATTGCTTGTATTGTATTTGTGGCTCATATAAGTGAAGGCAATATGAACTTTTTTTTCCACTTGCCTGGTTAAAAATGTAAAGTTTTATGTTAGAAGATTTAACTGCTTTTAAGAATACTGCAGCTCTGAATAAATCTCACAGATGTATTAGTAATTACTAAATTTATTAATTTTAATGCAAATTTATTCATAGCAAAAACATATAAATATAGTTTAAATGTTGATATACGTATATTCCTTATGAAAGCTTGCTTTAATTAAAGTTTATGAAGTATCAGATCCAAAATTGATAAGTACAGTGAAGCGCCAGACTTCATCCAGTGCGGATATCGTACAATTCAGATTTCAACCACTTTTTTGGGTGAAATTTTACTCTGGGTTTTGTACCTTCGCTTGGAGATCATCTGTACCAGATGCGTTTGCCTGGGCCACTCATACGTTCGTGATACTAATACTGATACTAATACGTAATAATAATAATCACTCTTGGGCACAGTAAATGTCTTATTTTAGGTTACTATAGACATTTTTATTAATCCATCTATGATATTTTCTTCAAAATTATATAAGAAACACGTTACATAGCATATAAACATGCAATGTTTATATGCTGTGGAGGTGTGCTAGTCAGGCAGATGGAAAACAGTACATTTTCTCTGGTCCAGCATCAGAGAAAACATGTATGAATGTGCATTGGCACAGTCACCGCCCTTGATATATAATGCTTTTGTTTACAATTCTCAGCATGAATTATTCATTACTTCTTCCTTTGTTTATGATGGCATCTAAAGGTAGTTGTTAGAAATGATTAAACTCGGTGAACATGGTATGTCGATGGTAATAATATGGCTCTGGGTTGCATTAAATATTGTGTAGCTAGGATGTGGAAGAGTTGTTGGAGAAATATCACCCTAACAAAGCTGTTGCAAGGCATGCTTCATGGTCCAGTTACTCAAGCTGGTCCTAGTGCTAGTAAAAGACAAAGAAGAGAAGTAACCCCGGATAGGGCTTTGATGACTCACGAAATCGTAATGACACGATTGCAAACAAACCATACCACGGGAGGGATTTGAACCCGCGGTCAGAGAGTCTCAAAACTCCAGACCGTCGCGTTAGCCACTGGACCAGCTAGCCACAATAAGATTCATCCAACTAGGTATATTTCTACACCATAGGAAGGTTAGCATAGGCACCACTGTGACCACAAATGCAAGTTTTTACAGACGAATCTCCAGCTAGCGTGGCCGTGACGAACTCTAGCTCAAGTCCCCTCACTGCCGTCAACATGACTCACGAAATCGTAATGACATGATTGCAAACAAACCATACCACGGGCGGGATTTGAACCCGCGGTCAGAGAGTCTCAAAACTCCAGACCGTCACGTTAGCCACTGGACCAGCTAGCCACAATAAGATTCGTCCAACTAGGTATATTTCTACACCATAGAAAGGTTAGCATAGGCACCACTGTGACCACAAATGCAAGTTTTTACAGACGAATCTCCAAGTAGCGTGGCCGTGACGAACTCTAGCTCAAGTCCCCTCACTGCCGTCAACATGACTCACGAAATCATAATGACACAATTGCAAACAAACCATACCACGGGCGGGATTTGAACCCACGGTCAGAGAGTTCGTCACGGCCACGCTAACTGGAGATTCGTCTGTAAAAACTTGCATTTGTGGTCACAGTGGTGCCTGTGCTAACCTTCCTATGGTGTAGAAATATACCTAGTTGGACGAATCTTATTGTGGCTAGCTGGTCCAGTGGCTAACGCGACGGTCTGGAGTTTTGAGACTCTCTGACCGCTGGTTCAAATCCCGCCCGTGGTATGGTTTTTTAGGGCTTTGATACCTGAAGTTTTTATGGAGGGGGATTCCCCTTCCAAACAATAACCTCTCCTCCCTCTTCCCTCCTCACCATCTTCCATACACCAGTAAGTCTCTTCAATAAAGGTAAAAGTGATTTAAATGTTCATTTATCCATTAAAATCAGTCATTTATATATATTTCTCATTGTTTTCTGTATGTAAAACTATAGTTATTCTCTGTAAAATGTATTTTTTGTTAATATTTTTGGGTGTCTGGAGCAGATTAATTGGATTTACATTATTTCTCATGGGAACTATTACTTCGGTTTTCATCCATTTTGGATTTTGACCGACTTTCTGGAACAGAATAAGGATGAAAACTGGGGTTCCGTTGTACTGTAGTTCTTAATATTTAATGGTTTTGAATTTTAATTTATGGATATGTAAATTGGTTGGTTTGATAATGTTATATTTACTAGATATCCTCTCTGCAGCACGTATGAAGCGAAGGATACTACATGAGAGAGATCTTGACCAATTTGCCCAGGAAACTCCTGTTCTGTCTAAGGGCTCACCAGATATGTTCAGAAATATATTTGACAGAGGTGAGTGATATTATCAGTCTTCTTGACTTTATTTTATTTTAACACTGTACTTATTCTTCAGGAAGTATAGGTGCACACATTTACAGTGAAGTTTATACAGGGTATTTGAAAATGCTCTTTCAGATGGGTTTGGATAAAGAGATTTATTAATTTTTTATTTTGCAGGTACTATATCTTACACAGAATACTTATTTTTGCTTTCCATTCTCACAAGTAAGTAATGATGGATTTGTATTCTTTATTTGAGATGTAGAGTATATTATTGATAATATATCATGATTAATAATATAAGCTTTTTTCTGACTAATGCCATTTTTAGTAAAATAAATGAATTTGTTGGCAGAGCCTCAAACAGGATTTCGCATTGCATTTAACATGTTCGACACAGATGGTAATGAACGTGTTGACAAAGAAGAGTTCCTTGTGGTGAGTTTATATTTACAATTTAATCATAGATAAAATTCTTGTAATAGCTGCTTCTATCTTTTGATACACTAATCATTATGGATAAATTATTATTGTTTGTTATCTATATGAGTTTTCATATTTACATTAAATTATGTGTATTTTTATTACAGCACTGTATAACCTTTTGTGAGAGGTGCCTTAATGCCAATTAAGGGCTCTTGATCTGATCAAACCTGACTGCTTCCCATCCCTCATATGCTGTGTGACACTTACTAGTTTATGTTTAGGAAATCTTACCTACTTTATAGATGCATATTAAAGGAGTGTATTTATATACAGTAACTTATTTGACAACTTAGCAGTTACAATTTAAAATTATATTGTAGGGGGAACAGTTTTAAAATGTGGTTTTGTTATTAACTCAGTGTGGCTTGTCTTCAAAAGTTCACTGCTTTGACAGTATCCAAGTTGTGTACATAATGTGTGGCTTGTTGGTTTTAAGAAAAACAACACTGCAACACTTGTTGTCAATGTTAAAGTATTAAGAGAAGTGATGAGGATTCTTGAGTGACACTGCAACACTTGTTGAACTTTTAACAGCATTGAGCTTTTAACAGCATTGTCAGATTTTTCTCTCTTTTTCTCTCCTACCTTTCTCTTTGTTCAGCCTTACTCTACCTACTTGTTACTTTTCTTCTTTCCTCTTCCTCCTATTTTCTTTTTTCATTCCAACTCTATCTCCTTTTTTTCCATCTCTCATTTCCCTCCCTCTCTCCCTCTGCCTCTCTTTCTCCTTCTCCCCTCTTCTCCTTCCTCTTTACCCTTCCCACCCTTCCCTTTTCTTCACCCTTCCTTCCTTCCTGTCCCTCACCCTTCCTTTACTCCTCATCCCTCTCTCTCTCTCCCTTACTCCTCACCCCTGTCTCTACCTTACTCCTCCTTCCACCTTACTCCTCCCACTACCTTACTCCTTCCACCTTACTCCTCCCACTACCTTACTCCTCCCACTACCTTACTCCTCCACTACCTACTCTTCCACTTACCTCTCTCTCCAACTTTCCCCTTCCTCCAACTTTCCCCTTCCTCCAACTTTCCCCTCCCTCCAACTTTCTCCCTCCCTCCATCTTACCTTCTCCTTCCTCTTTTGTCTTCCTCCTCCTCCCTCAACTTTTTTTTTCTTTTCTTCCATCTCTTGTCCCTATACATCTGATTCCATATATACTATAGAGGCCGCCTAATATCCTGCTCTTATAGACACACCAGTCTGCAGAGTATCTCTGTAAAATGTTTATGATGTTTCTAACACGAGTTTCAAAAAGTTTCAAACCACAGTATCCAGTATTTTTAAATATACTTTCTTGTGCTATGTTGCATAGAATGCAGGAAGATGTTTCATCTGAGATAGATTATACAGGAGATTAATCTGCTCATTAACTCAGGAATGTGAAACTTTCTATGATCTAAACTGTTATCTTAAAATAAAACTTCTACCTTTTCAGTTTGAATATTCATTTTCTTATTTAGGTTATAATTCTGGTGTATTCTACTCAGGAAAATCTGGCATTATGTATACCTCCAATTTTCATATTAATATACAGTAGTGAATTAAGCCTTGTTTGGGTTTGTTTATATGACAGGACAAATGATCTTTTTAAGTAATAGCAGAATTTTTTTTAGTTAATTACGGTTTCATGCATATTTTTTTATTAATGATTTTTCCTTTTCAGCATATCCAACTTATTTACTGGTTGCTTTATTATAGCATCTGTAAGTAATTTATTGAGCATCAGATAACAATATACTGATATTTACATTACTGTATCACCAGTGAGTGGGATTAGTAATAAGCACCTATACCTGACTCCAGGTTTTATGATGAACACACATCAGTAAGTAGTGTCAGTAATAGATACCTACTTCAGGTTTTATGATGTTCACACATGTAATAGATTGTAATTCCTCTGTATATATATATTTTGTATACTTAAAGCATGGCATGTTTAACTTACTATATGCTCCTGTTCTTCTTCAGGGTATTTTAACTTTAATTGATTTTCTATATTTAAAAGTGGATGAGTATAACCCAAATAGACTCTGGTCGTCACAACCTAGGGATTGATGACACCATCTTGTGTAACAGTTAATGGAGATGATCACTGCTGGTGTATTCCGGGCCTATGCCTCTTGGGTATCTGATACATCCCAGGATGGTAACATGGACTCCAGTAAGGCCAAGAAGCTTCAAGACACAAGGCAGGTCGTAAGTGAGCTGCTCGTGGGCCGGTCAGCCAACAACAATCGTTTGGGGGTAATATAGATGCAGATATTGTGTGTGCCGCCTGTCGCCGGTGCCTCGCTCCATTCTTCGCCTATAAATAATCTATCTTTGGAAGTCTTCATTGTGCAATGTGCTGGGTGATAACTCGTGATAAAGTTATCGTCTGAAATTGTTCCCTATAATTTTGTACATCAGTCACATTCTTTTGCTAATACATAAATACCGGTACCTTATTTTACCACAAAGTGAGCAAGAGAAGAAATATTCATCATAATGGTAGTCTAAATTGACACGTTCCTTTTGCATCAGCTTTATATTCTATTCATTCATTGAAGGCAGGTGCTGATAAATTCACCCCTTTTAGCCAGTATTGCAACTTGTTATGTATTTGTAAAATATTGTATTTAGTAAATCTTTTATTTAATTGCATACTTTGTCTGTAGTCCAGTAAATATGTGCTTGGGACCTTGTGGTAGAATGAGGTGAGGTGCGTTTGCCTGTAGCCAATCATAGCCCATATTGCCTTAAAAATGTGTTGCGAGTTGATGCCTAAGATTCTTGCAGACTTAATGTAACAGAACTCACCACTCATTACAAGGAGAGAGGACAACATTTCTACATTGTGTATACATCATTGCAATATACAGTACTCTTAATAAAAAGCAAGTTAATCTATATCTGTTTTAAACAAAATTTTATTTTGTATTTTTGGTTTTGTGTGAACAATGACTAATACTTTGTGAAGTGGCAGTATCGTTACTAATAAGTCTGGGGCAGTGTAAAACTATTCAAATAATAAAAAGAAAAATTTTCTTCTTTCAACAAACCGGCCATATCCCACTGAAGCAGGGTGGCCCAAAGGAAAAAGCTAAAGTTTCTCTTTTTAAATTTAGTAATACATACAGGAGAAGGGGTTACTAGCCCCTTGCTCCCAGCATTTTAGTCGCCTCTTATGACACGCATGGCGTACGGAGGAAGAATTCTCTTCCACTTCCCCGTGGAGATAAGAGGAAATAAACAAGAACAAGAACTAGGGATTTGGGATATTGGCAATTTGGAAGGACTTCTGAACTGTCGTATCTGAGCGCTTCTGCAAAGACAGTGATTGTGTTTGAGCGAGGTGTAAGTGTTGAATGATGATGAAAGTATTTTCTTTTTGGGGATTTTCTTTCTTTTTGGGTTGCTCTCCCATTGTGGGAGACGACCGACGTGTTGAAAAAGAAAAAAAAGAACTAGTAAGGAAATAGAAGAAAACCCAGAGGGGCATGTGTATATACATGCTTGTCTATGATGTGCAGTGTGACTTAAGTGTAAGTAGAAGTAGCAAGATGTACCTAAAATCTTGCATGCTTCTTCTTCTTTCAACACACCGGCCGTATCCCACCGAGGCGGGGTGGCCCAAAAGGAAAAACGAAAGTTTCTCCTTTTACATTTAGTAATATATACAGGAGAAGAGGTTACTAGCCCCTTGCTCCCGGCATTTTAGTTGCCTCTTACAACACGCATGGCTTACGGAGGAAGAATTCTGTTCCACTTCCCCATGGAGATAAGAGGAAATAAACAAGAATAAGAACTAGAAAGAAAATAGAAGAAAACCCAGAGGGGTGTGTATATATGTGCTTGTACATGTATGTGTAGTGTGACCTAAGTGTAAGTAGAAGTAGCAAGACGTACCTGAAATCTTGCATGTTCATGAGACAGAAAAAAGGACACCAGCAATCCTACCATCATGTAAAACAATTACAGGCTTTCGTTTTACACTCACTTGGCAGGGTGGTAGTACCTCCCTGGGCAGTTGCTGTCTACCAACCTACTACCTAGGAAGAATAATTTTCTTCTTTCAACACACCGGCTGTATCCCACCAAGACGGGGTGGCCCAAAAAGAAAAACAAAAGTTTCTCTTTTTAAATTTAGTAATTTATATGGGAGAAGGGGTTACCAGCCCCTTGCTCCCAGCATTTTAGTCGCCTCTTACAACACACATGGCTTATGGAGGAAGAATTCTGTTCCACCTCCCCATGGAGATAAGAGGAAATAAACAAGAACAAGAACTAGAAAGAAAATAGAAGAAAACCCAGAGGGGTGTGTATATATATATGCTCGTATATGTATGTGTAGTGTGACCTAAGTGTAAGTAGAAGTAGCAAGACATACCTGAAATCTTGCATGTTTATGAGACAGGCAAAAGACACCAGCAATCCTTCCATCATGTAAAACAATTACAGGCTTTCGTTTTACACTCACTTGGCAGGACGGTAGCACCTCCCTGGGTGGTTGCTGTCTACCAACCTACTACCTAGGAAGAAGAATTTTACCTGTAATAAATACAGTACATATAGGTAGTAGGTTGGTAGACAGCAACTGCCCAGGGACGTACTACCGTCCTGCCAAGCGAGTGTAAAACGAAAGCTTGTAATTGCTTTACGTGATGGTAGGATTGCTGGTGTCTTTTTTTCTGTCTCATAAACATGCAAGATTTCAGGTATGTCTTGTTACTTCTACTTACACTTAGGTCACACTACACATGCATGTGCAAGTGTATGTATACACACCCCTCTGGGATTTCTTTTATTTTCTTACTAGTTCTTTTTTTTTCTTAACACATCGGCCAATTCCCACCAAGGCAGGGTGGCCTGAAAAAGAAAAACTTTCATCATCATTCACTACATCACTGTCTTGCCAGAGGGGTGCTTTACACTACAGTTATAAAACTGCAACATTAACAACCCCCTTCAGAGTAGAGACACTGTACTTCCTATCTCCAGGACTCAAGTCCGGCCTGCTGGTTTCCCTGAATCCCTTCGTAAATGTTACTTTGCTCACACTCCAACAGCATGTCAAGTATTAAAAACCATTTGTCCCCATCCACTCCTATCAAATACGCTCACACATGCTTGCTGGAAGTCCAAGCCCCTCACACACAAAACTCCTTTACCCCCTCTCTCCAACCCTTTCTAGGCTGACCCCTACCCCATCTTCCCTCCACTACAGATTTATACACTCTTAAAGTCATTCTGTTTTTCCATTCTCTCTACATGTGATTGAAGGCATTAGATTGTAAATCTAAATAGAAGTGAGACTTTCTTATCAACTAAGGGTAAGATTTAAAAGATTTTTACTTTTTTTTTGACAGCTTTGAATGATGTTAGTTTAAATTAACTTAAAATCTTAGATAACTAAAAGTATAGATGGGATAAAAAGACCAAATAAATTAATGGAAGATCACTCCAAACCACCTCAACAACCCCTCCTCAACCCTCTTGATAATAGTTTTGGTAATCCCACACCTTCTCCTAATTTCCGAACTACGAATTCTCTGCATTATATTCACACCACACATTGCCCTCAGACGTGACATCTTCACTGCCTCCAGCCTCCTCCTCGTTGCAACATTCATCACCCATGCTTCAATGCTTCACACCTATACAGGAGTGTTGGTACAACTATACTCTCATACATTCCCCTCTTTGCTTTCATGGACAAAGTTCTTTGTCTCCACAGACTCCTAAGGGAACCACTCACCCTTTTTCCCTCGTCAATTCTATGATTCACCTCATCCTTCATAGACCCATCTGCTGACATGTCCACCCCTAAATATCTGAATTCATTCACATATTTAGGAGTGGACATGTCAGCAGATGGGTCTATGAAGGATGAGGTGAATCACAGAGTTGATGAGGTGAAAAGGGTGAGTAGTGCACTTAGGAGTCTGTGGAGACAAAGAACTTTGTCCATGAAAGAGGGGAATGTATGAGAGTATAGGTGTACTACTTCTTGTTCTTATTTATTTTCTCTTATCTCCATGGGCAAGTGAAACAGAATTCTTCCTCCGTAAGCCATGCGTATTGTAAGAGGCGACTAAAATGCCGGGAGCAAGGGGCTAGTAACCCCTTCTCCTGTACATATTACTAAATGTAAAAGGAGAAACTTCCGTTTTTCCTTTTGGGCCACCCCACCTCGGTGGGATATGGCCAGTGTGTTGAAAGAAAGAAAATACAGTACAGGGTGCACATGATTCTTAGTAAATCATTAGAATACCTCTGTGGAAGGTAGCTCATCCTCACCATCTTGTGAAACCACTGGGGCAGATAATGCCTGGATCTTAATTAATTAACCTTTACCAGGCACTCACTGAAACTGTTGAGAAATCAGAATTATGTTATTATAGACTTATAGTATAACCCTTTCTGAGGTACATGTACTCTTAAAGTTTTTTACATTTTAAATATCTTCTAGAAAATCCCAAAAATGAAGAGTTGCTGAAATGCTTATTACCTGTAAAAGGTAAACAGTTTCTTAAATATAAGAGATAATCATAATGAACACAGGTTTTGTTCCTGAAAACTGCGCTACCAATGAATCCCAGGATTTATTGATTGAAAACTTAGGAAAATTAGTGTTGTATTCCTCAGTCCTCCAAGAGAGCCATAAGAAATTTTTTTTATATCATAATGCTTCAGAAAATAATAGTTTCTGAACTCTATTGAGGTTCAGACTGTGAAAAAGAGGAGTTCAACCTCTCCTCACTTAGCGACGGAGTTTTGTTCCTAAGACCACATTGGTAAATAAATTCATCGCTAAATGAGGAGCATGCTATAATAGTACTGGGTTTGTGTCAGTGATCTTTGATATTGTTTTAATGTCACCTTTGCACCATTTATAATATTTGTGATACGTTTTTAAATGTTTATACAGTAGTGTACTGTATATTGTAATAAGCAGAATAGAGGAAATCAGCTCTAATATTCATTATTTAGGTATGCATACTGGTCAGAGAGCCCATCATAAGTCTGAGTCGTCGGTAAAGGAATATGTCACTAAGTGAGGAGAGGCTGTACATGTAGTTAAAAAAAGGTTACAGTAAAACTCTAGTTTTCGTCCGGTCCGAATATCATACAGTTCGGATTTTTACCACTTTTTTCGGCAAATTTTTACTCCAGGTTTCATACATCGACTCGGAAATCATCCGTATCAGATGGGTTCGCCCGCCCGGGCCGCTGCCACTTAACTCAGTTTGCCTCCGTCACTT